CATCAAAATACTGTGATGAGTGTGATTATAGTGTTTAAGTTATGTGAAATAATCAAAATAGTTTATAATTTTTTCTATAAATATTATTAGTGATTGAATTAATTCACTTTTGATTTTGATTTGGCCAATATACAACTATTTTGTAAAGTTTAAAATATTATATTATTATAATGAATATACTTTTTTCTAATAAGTATTAAATACATTTTTTATTTGGTCAATATGAAATTTTTATAAATAGTTTAAAATCTTATGTTTGTATATCAAATATATTTTTTATTTTGCCACTAAACAATTTTAATGTAAAAGCTTTAATTTAAATATAGAATTATTAATATTTTTTACATCAAATTTAGCTTTAATTTATTATTCTAAAAATTCTCCTTTTTGGTTATAGCATATTTGTAAAATACATATTTTAGAAATTAACTATAAGTAATCTTTTTTAATAAAAGAATATCAAAAACTGCTAATATATCGTCAATACATTGATTGTAGAATTTAAATTTTTCTTAATTTTTTTAATATATTTCTATTTAATTAAAAAAGTATAGCGCAATTTTATTATTGTTCAAACAACCCACAAAAAATATAATATAAATAAATTTTAAAAGAGAAATAGAACGGGAAAATGACATCATAACTAACCAAAATTAGTAATTTAGTATTGATATGAGTATGATTTCCTAAATAATAAGTTTCCTTCCATAGAAAAACGGAAGAAGAAAAAAAGTTTCATAAAATTTCACTCCAAAATCCACATCTTAGACCCCACATTTGAGAGAGAAAGAGAGAAAGAACTGCGTTGAGACAAACTCAAGCATACTTCAAACAAAGCAATTAAAGAATTTGAATTACATTACCTCAAAAAATTGCATATCCAAACACATTTTAGATATATTTAAATTTCTACCATTTGTGTTCTCTTCACTGATACGTAATGATAACAAATTTTTCCTTTGTATTTTTTAAAATAAATTTATTGAAATTTTTTTAAGTAATAGAAGTTTTTAAAATTCATTTTTGTAAAAGAAAAAGATTAATTTTGATATTCAATAACATAAATACTCATTATTAAAAATTAAAATATAGTCAAAATTACATAACTTTCAAATTTTAAAAATAATTTTTATGAAAAATTACTCAAAATAACTTTAAATTTAGATAATTTTGTGAAATTTTGATATTCAAAATAAATTATTGTAAAATGATAAAATATCTAAAATAATATTTTATGAATAATTATTTAAATCAATTTTTATTTAAATTAATAAAAAAAATCTTTGTAATTTTTTAATAAAAATATATAATACCTTAAAAATTATTTTAAGAAACTAAAACAAACTAGTCTTTATTCACATTTAAGAGAAAGACAAAAAAAAAAAAAACTGCCTTGTTTTTCCCTCAACATGCCTCCTTCAAATCAAAGCCAATAACCAAAACTTGAAAGTTGAATCAAACAAACCACAACAGCTACATTCTTAGTTCCATGTCTCTTTCTCTTTAACAACCCTTTTCTCAATAGTTTTCCACAACATGATATCCATGTTCCAAATGCTAAGCAAGGTTAGGTGAAAGATAGCAGCCTTAAGTTAAGTACCAGCAAAACTATCTTTTTTCAATTAATCCTTACCTGAAATCTTGAACTTCTCTGTTCTTGTTGATCAGGTGGTGACTTGCTAATCAAGAAAACTAGTTCTAAATATACAAGAGGAGGAACTCACAGTGCTGCTGCTTTTTTGTTGGACTAAATGCTGCTGCATATATCACCAACTTTGGGACACATCACTGTACTTCCAGGAAAAGGGTTGAGAGAATTTTTCAAAGCCAAGATTGCATCGAGTAGACTTTCTTATCGGGTGCTCTTCTTCTATTCGCTATTGTTCTTCACTTTTCTTCTCCGATTTGTGTTTGTTTTGACAGCAGTTGATAGCATAGACGGTGAAAACAAGTGCTCTAACATAGGTATGTTGTATCTTCTCTCCCTCTCTTACACACAAATGCACAAAGTTTAAACATACAAACACAAATAAAAGGTTCACTACAGGGTGGATGAGGCTTCAATTTTCAATATATTAAAGCATATATTGTACAAAGCTTTGATTTCTTCGTGATTTGGAAATAGCTATTTGGTTGCATTATCGCAGAGAAAAGAATGGTTACTGACCTTTGATTCAAATGTTCTGAGATTATTGTCTAATGGGGGATGCTACAAGGAAAATTGATACTAATGAAAACAAGGCATTAATATCGGTTCATTCAAATATATACATTTTTTAATATTTGTAGGTTGCCTGGGAAGAAAACTAAGGCCAAAGATATCAGAAAGAAGTCTTGCATCAACTGTAATCTCCTTAACTCTTATAACTAAATTAATATATTCATGATTCCACATGGTAATTATTATGTTCATGTCCTAGATTAAGATCGGTTGATTCCGCGTGGCTGAAAATGACACTGGTTTCTTTAGGTACCAGAGGAGATATATGCAATGTTAGATCAACCTCTTGACAAATATGAAATGGAGGGAAAATCTAATATTCCTCAGACTTTAGAAGAGTTCATGACTGAAATGAACAAAGGTGGATATGATGCCAAGACATTTGCGATTAAATTAAGAGAAATGGTAGCATTCTCCCACTTAGAAGATAAATATAATGCAAAAGTAAAAGTTTTTCAAGTTCAAGTATCATCACTTAATGTTGATCCTTTTCTTAGGTAACCTTTATGGAACAAAGGACTAGGACCTCCAAAATCCAAGAATATTTATATCATCAAGTAGTATGGAACAGCATACCGAAACAGCTTCACTGTCTTGAATTGAGGCTGGCGAATGAGCACACAAATAATGCAGCGGCACGCCTTCGGCTACCATCTTCAGAACTTTTTCCTGCTCTGGTTGACAACTCTTACTTCCACTTTGTTCTTGCCTCGGACAATGTGATCGCTGCCTCTGTGGTTGCAAAATCACTTGTTCGCAACAGTTTGCACCCTTGGAAAGTTGTTCTACACATAATTACAGATAGAAAGACTTATCATTCCATGCATGCTTGGTTTTCACTGCACTCTTTATCACCTGCTATAATTGAGGTCAAGGCATTGCACCAATTTGATTGGTTTACAAAGAGGAAAGTGTCGGTTATAGAGGCAATGGGAAAAGATCAAAATGTGCAGTCGCAGTTTAGAAGAGGATCATCAGCTATAGTTGCAAATATGAATGAGAAGCCCAATGTTATTACGGCCCAACTGCAAACACGCGGTCCCAAGTATAGTTCAGTGACGAACCACATTCGGATACATCTTCCAGAGGTAAAGGTGATAGCAGTAGGAAGTAAAACCATATTTGAATAAACAGCGGATACCGCAGTGCCACAAGCACTTATTTATATAAATGCTTATAGTTATGAGTTATGAACGAATTAATCATTTTCCTTACTGTGATTATACATTTTTGGTAACAGCTGTTCCCAAGTCTTGACAAGATTGTCTTCCTGGATGACGACATTGTGGTACAAACTGATCTTTCGCCTCTATGGGACATTGACATGAATGGAAAAGTCAATGGAGCAGTAGAAACATGCAAAGAGGAACATAAATTTGTGATGTCAAAGAGATTAAAAAGCTATTTGAACATCTCCAACCCTCTAATATCCAAATTTTTTGATCCAAATGAATGTCCTTGGGCTTATGGCATGAACATTTTTGACTTGAAGGCTTGGAGGAAGACCAATATAAGCCATACATACCACTATTGGGTTGAGCAGGTACATCGACCTATTATCCTACTATTATACTATACTTTAATCAAGTGAATCAAACTCGATGCCTAGGGTTTATGACACTCACACCGCACACCCACCACTTGCACTAATCTAAGTAATTATCTCTTTAGCACCGACACTCTTGAAAAAAGGTGTTTGTCTCAGTGTCCGTGTCAGAGTCGTGTTTCTGGTGTCTCATAGGTGATTACTACAATACTATATAATGAAAAAGGGAAAAAAGAAAATTACAATTGATATGTCGAAAGTTAAAAATGATTTTCATAATAAACTCATTTTTCTTTGGTTTATGCAGAATATAAAATCAAAAATGAGTTTGTGGAAGTTAGGGACATTAACTCCGGGATTAATAGCATTCCATGGAAATGTGCATAAGATTGATCCTTTCTGGCACATGCTGGGATTGGGATATCAGAAAAATACAAGTGTTGATGATGCTAAGAATGCCGGGGTTGTTCATTTCAATGGAAGGGCAAAACCATGGCTGGATATAGGTTTTCCACAACTAAGGCCATTGTGGAGTAAGTATGTTGATTTTTCAGATAAATTCATCAAAAGCTGTCACATTATGGCATCGTAACCTTGGATGTTAGGAAAATGTGACTTTTTTGATCAGTTGAAGTCAAGGTCTCTGTATAAATGAGAGGATTTTCCATGTGCAAGTTTGTCTAAAAAAGACGACACAACAATGACATGGCTTGTTCAAATTTTGTTTTTAAAGTATGTTTAAAAAATTTTGAATTTTTTTCCCTCTCTTACTCTATTGTAAAACAAAAATTTATTGATCATATACAAATATATAAAGAAAATGCAGCAGTCAGTAAGGGCTTGCTACTCAGCTGAAATATGATATTGTTAATATAACTGCACCTAGCTTAAAACAAAAACACCATTCGTCTTTTCTTTACTCAATTGTTTAAACATTTGTACTGTTAAGAATAAGTTCTTCCCAGTTTTGCAAGCCTGAAAAAAAATAACTTTATCATTTGCCTCACTGGAATATCTCGAAACACGGTAGCAACCATTGAAACTGATACAAATCTTATTAACATTTACACGAAAATACCAGATTTACTTCATAATAGTATCCATATGCAAAATACAGAGGGAAGCCACTGGGTCCAGTTAGAATACATAGAAAACTAACAAAGCCAAAAAGGTATTGGGATTGGATACAATCTTGAGCCAAAATGGAAGCCCAAAGAATTGCACAGTGCCGGCTTAGGCAACTGGAGGACGAAGTACATGATCCTGTGAGGTATCCACTGCAGCAGGTGGCATAAATTGCCACATTGCAACTCCTGGATAACTAATAAAAGGCACCAACTTGTTGCCATGGGCTTGGCCTTGTGCAGCAAATGCAGCAGGTAGTGCAGCAGGGAGTGCAGTGGGGGGAGGCAAGAAACTGGGTTGTGCATTCATAGATTTCAGCTGCTGCTCCAACTTCTCTTTCTCTGCTTTGAGCCTCTGTTTCTCGTCACGGAGTTCATTCTTCTCAACCTAGAATTTTTTTTAATACAGATTACATTGAGTTTTTCATTCACCAATAGGAAAAAGTAATAGTTTTAAGGCATAAAAACTCAAGGGATCTAGAATACATATCTCCCTTGTAAGTCAATCCATGTGAAAATACACTAAAAAAACAAATATAAATTAAGACTCCACCTTCAATTCTTTAATCTTTTCTTGAAGACCCGTATTAGCATCTTTCAATTTTTCGGCTTCACCCTTCAGCTGTGTCACCATTCGGACAGCATCAATCAGGATAGCAGCCTTGTCTGTTTTGGCAGGCCTTCCAGGCTCCAAAATGGAGCCCAATTCAATAAACCTAACCATGTCCATTATTTCAGGTACATGCCACATCTAAATATTTACACAAAATCCACAGGGAAAATTGAAAAACAGAGGTGTGTAGTTGTGTAAAACATTTACTTGTCATTAAGCCTATCTCTACGCAACTTCTCCCGACATGCCTTGGAGCTAGTGGCAGCACATGACTCAGATCTACCCCTGCAACAAGAAATGAACAAGAGAATGAGGATGTCTTCCCCATGATAAGATTTATACATTGAATCCAATCATTTTTTAGTTTAAATACAAAAGGGCAGTAGTAAATGCTACATGGCAGGGAAATATAATGCCGGAAAGTAGACCTAAAAAATTAATGGTATACTTGAGTATGATAACATATGCAGTGCAGTGCCATAAGATTTGTGATTTTGATCCTAACTGTATAAACTAACACTTCTAACTTAATAATCACCACAATATCGTTAACAACCGCTTTTAACTAACTAACCAAAGGTTTATTGTTAAAAGCTATTTTTAACTATATTGTGGTGGTTAACAGTTAGAAGCGTGAGTTTATCACGTACAATCACATTAGTAAGCCTCACCATTGAAATTAAGTTGCATTGTCATTTGATGCAACTATGTGACTAGACATTTGTTAGTTAGTTGAAGTGCTCTTATTTGTATCGCTAGGAAGTCTATTTAAATTACTCAAATAATTAACTCAGCTTTTTGATTTCAGTCTCCATCATTATTGTAGTATAAATAGGAAGAAAACGGAATAGACCAGCAACCCACATAAATTATTGAGAATTAAAGTAAATGAAAAGCTTCAGTTACAGAATAATATTTCTAAGAGCCTACGCATGTGAATCATTTTTCTTTTGCACATTGATTCGTTGTTCCTTCTTTTTCGCTTTTGAGAAAGCAAGATCCAAAATTCAAATTAATATGAAATTGTTTAGCTTAATGAAACTTAAATGGGAACAGAAAATTGTGTACCTCTTCTTTGAACCAGACTCTTTGAGACTGTCAGAATCCCCTAATGAGACGTCAATTTCAGCACTGGCAGCATAGAAATGCAAAAAAAGAAAAGAAAGTTAGACATTTATGGTCTTTCATCATTGGAAAAAGGAGGGGGTTCATGGAAAGGAATAAATATATAAAAATTAACATGCAAATTGTTTTTCTTTCTTTCCATTTCTTGATGTCAAAACATGGTGCAAAGAATACCAACCACAGATGAAACCATATTATAAGGAATGGTGGACTGGGCCCAACTGACTTGAAAGTTTTTTCTTTCACTATATTCCAAATTGAGTCATTTTCTTTTAAAGATGTCGATAATTTATCGCCACTAATAAAGCAGAATACTAAAAATTCTGGGGACCATTGCTATGACCAGCAACTCATTTTCTATTCTATTGTACAAACAAAACGTACAAAGCCTCATCATAACTATACATATTTTGGAAAGGAATTGAAATATATGCTTCACAAAGATAAAAAATGCATTATTGAAAATGGTAACAAAAGTAGCAATCCCTATTGCATATAAGTATCTAAAGGAAAACCGTTCCCGAATTGATATTATTTCCCAAATTCCCCAAATCACGCACAAAAAATAGTCAAGGAACTTCAATATATTAGAATCGGGTATAGTTTTTCCCCCAATCTCATCAAATCATTAAGTCCATGCCTCTGTGGAAATGTACACGGTTGCAAACTAGAACAGCCTACCCCCTGTCTCACTAGGTGGATTAAGCTGCATAGATCCACCAATCCATTGGGCCCTAACAGAAACCAAAATTTAGGTAAAACCATTTAGAAAAAATTCTTCTTAATGTTCTCTTTTTCCTAAAAATTGCTTAGGTCTTCCTATACTCTCATGAGAACAAATCACGTTATGAGTAAGTTTTTCCATCTTATCCTCAATAGGTGCTACTCGTACAAATGGACTTCCTCTCAAATAACTTTTACTAAAATATGGCATTTGTCTACCTATCCACCTCAACATTCACATATCCTGAATATTTCTTTCATGTGCTTGTTGGTACTTGCTTTACCCCCAACATGCAATTACACAGAGCATTAACAGACTAATACGTTAAAACAACCAAGTCAACAAGAGTTTTCTTAATCATTGTAATATACACACTTCATAATTACAAATTATACATAAAATAATTCTCTATTTCATCTACCTAACTTGAGTCCATATGACAAATTATAACTTGTAAATAACCAAACCATGTAACTGTCAGTACAAAACATTCCCTAATATGCAGGACAAGAACAGCCACAGCCACTGAAATTGTGTAGGGATTTTCCATTTGCATAAGCAACAAACCCATTAATTAGGTTTAGTAGAATGGGCCTTATGCTTAAGTACATCACATACTATGCCTAAAACTACCAACACTTAGTGTTCGGCTGAGACTATTATACATTAGTAACTGGATTCTGTTAGCAAAACTCATGTAACCAACATTCTAACAACTCAGCATCAAAAATATCGGTTCCAAGTGGTTTCAAACTTTCTTTTCAATTTTCCATATCTACCATTCCCCCTCATTTCCTCAGTAACATATATCCTAATTTCCAACGATTAGAAATCATGAAACCGGATCTTGAAACAAACTGCAGAGTCAATCAAATGCAGAAGCATGTACACTACAACAAAAATTAAACAATACAAAAACGGAAACATGAATTAAACATGTACAATCTAACCACAAATTCTACTAGACATTCATAAACCCAATCAACCAAAAAGAACAAAATCAAGCACACAATGATTTTAACCAGAAAAAAAAAAAACATCACAATTTCCAACTACCTTAAAACATAGCAATTCAAAAAAGAAATCTTTACGAACTAAGAAACGAAACACGAATTCGTAAAAGTAAAAACCAACAAAAACAAAAGCAATCAGAAAGACAAAAAGACGAGAAGAGGATCTGTGAGTACCCGACATTGGAGGAAACATTGAATGGCTGGTGAGCGGGCCAGGTGAAGCCGGTGGAAGGGGTGGGCATGAAGGTGGAAATGGGAGGGGAAATATCGTCGATTAAGCCGTAATCGAAAAGCCAATTGTTGTTTTCCCGGGAAACCATTTTTGTGCCCTAAGTTCCCAGAAAAAAAATAGGGAAATTGAGTCGCTTTGATGTTGAAGGGAAACAAATAAGGAGTGGGGGTTTGGTTAAGTTAAACGAATGAGAATCGAGAAGGGAAAAAAGAGGGATTTCCCTTTATTTTATTTAATTTAATTCAATAATAGTAATAATAATTTATTAATGTTATATTATTTAGTTTCTGGGAAAAGGAGGGGAATCTGTGTGGGAGAGATGAGAAGAGAAGAGAGAAGAGGAGAATGGGATTGAGTGGTGATGAATGATGATGATTCACTTCGTCGTCAACTTCAAAGACAAAACGCTTCTGGGCTTGGGCTTGGGCTTACTACACACGCCCTTTATGCTCACCAACCCCGACTTTTAGACACTTCCTAATCTTGTAGTGCCTTTGCTTTTTAAACTTCTCTTTTTCTTTTTTCTTTTTCGAAGACTCGTTCTATTTTTAGTTGAGATGGAGATAGGCTTAGTGGAGTTATGTTTTGCAAACTATATGTTTTATGGAATTGTTAATTACATTTTTAATGAGGCTTAAGCATTCTTCTGAAAAAATTTAAAATACAATTCAAAATTTGGAAATGCATTTTATAACGTATCACGTTTACATTTCATTACGTCATCCTATCATTTTACTAAAAATTAATAGGGAGATGTATTTCGGTAAAAAAAAATACACAAATACCTTCAAACAAATTTTGAGTCAAATATGCGCATACCTTCTCACTTTCTCATTTTTAGTTAAATATGTATATTATGTTGTTTAAGGTACATTACTAAATAGATAACTATAGGTAATTGAATGAAGCATGCATTTTCTACCATTTTTGTGTTCCCTGCGTTTTTTTCCATTTTTTCACGACTTACATGAAAATACTGAAGTCCACTTCTGTATTTTGTCAGAATTTGATTTTTCAGAAATACAGAAGTGCACTTCCATTTTATGTCTACATTATTTGATTTTGAATGCCTTTCATATGAGTTTGATTTATTTCACCTTTGCTTGTTTTGTCTGGTTTAATTAAAGGTAAATTGGTTAACAATCAAGAACAATTGAGGCTTGATAACTCAGAAGAATATCGCGTTTTCGACTTGATCCACATGCAAATTTGAGTCTTTTTTTCTTTCTTTTTTATTCGTGGTTTTATGTTTGTACTTGGTCTCTATTTTAGGTATTTAGGTTGCAGGAGTGATCGTGCGAAGAAATGATGCAAAACGACAAAAAATAGGAGCGAGAACGCACTTTTGCACGAATATGACGCCTTCCCTACCAGCATGACACCCGTCATGACGTGGCAATGCCTAGAGCATAAGCACAAGAAGGCAAATCCTGAAAAATTTGAGCTCCAGCTGGATAACTGGTAGGTCGTCACCCAAATGACGCCCGTTATGTCCCTACGATCTGTGGCGAGCAAGGCGTCAGTTTTCGACATATCTCTCAACTACCTTTTGCACGTTTTGAGACACTTTTGTAGGAATTTTAGCTCTATGAATAGGTGTTTAGAATTTAGTTTTTGAATCAAATTTTTTTTAGAATTTATTTTAAGCAGAAAAAGTCAGTTTGTAAAAGCGCTTATTTGCTCACACTGAGTGAAAAATGCACCTTAGATCTAAGTTTTGCAATTTTCCAATTTATATTTGGATCAATCAACCTATAATTCTATCGACATCAGATTTCCGGAATTTATTTCAAAGATTATTCAATACTAGTTTTTGGAGTTTTTCTTATTTATTACGTAGCTCATTGCAATTAGAGATTTTTCAATTTAATGTCTTTTACTACTTTCTAATAGCTACTTGCATGTGTATGCAAACCATGCTGATAGGCACATGTGGGACGGAGAGGTAAAACTTGTATGTATTTACTCTTTTAAACACATTTGTTATAATATTTGAAGTTTATGACGATGATGTATTTTTTTTGTAGTATCCTGATGCTTTAAAATATATTAATCATGGCAGAATGATTGTGAAGCTGCATCAGTCTGAGGAGCAATGGTTTCATTATTTCTTGTAGCTATATAGGTTTTAAGATTCATGCATTGCTGGTTATAATGTTATTAACCATGGTATGCTGTCAACTTTTATTGAGATATTACACTTAGAGAGATCATCTTTTGATCTTTCGCACGATGAGTATAACTAGGGTCGCTTGTTTAGTTTATTTGTACTCAAGGTTAGCTCAAGGTTGTCTTTCGAGACCAGACAAATGACATCAAGCTGGACGTTGTTCATAGTAATATATTTGCACACTTATTATTACTAACATTTCATAACACTTGTGCTACATCATTACTAATATTTCATCTGTACCATTTTCAGACATTGACCCTCCAACACTTTTCACGCATCTCTAGCTGGTCATATGTTGATGACTACTCTGAGGATCAACAATGTGTTTGTACATTTGTCCCACTTAGAGGGAATCAGGATATTGATCTCTTCAAAGTGTTTCTTGACCGCACTGAAGTAGATGATATACACTTCTAGCCGTACGAAAATCACCATGAGATGCATCCCTTGGATGACATAGACTTCTACTCCGGATGATTGCCTTGTGTGTTACGCTTGATATATCCATATCTGCTTGAGAGAGTCATTTACCAGTTTAAGTTTCTACAAGGTGTTCCAAGAGATATCTCAATGTCTGCTCCTCCCGTTATGGTCCATAGAGATGTTGACACGATGTTTGATGATTTTTATAATCATCTAGTCCTATATGAAACACGAAGTGTGCCAACTCCCCATCCATGGAGTAATGCATTCGACTACATCCAATGGTACTTTAAAATGTCTCGTCCTTACATGACACATATGCTCACAAAGAGTCACCCAAGCTAGCTCATCGGAAGATATTAGAGAAGGAGCATACTAACTTAGATCATGTTGTTGATGTTTTACCTATGTGTCTTTGTATTATAGACATTGTGCGTGCGCGTATAAAGAAAAGATATTTTTTGAAAGGTATTCCTGGGAGGGCCATTATATATGCCATTTTATCTTAGGCATATACGACATTGCAATACATGAGGCTGAGAAGGAACATGAAGTCAGGTATATCCAGTAGTATTTTATAATATTTGTACTATGGATTCTAGATAGTATTATGGTTTGTAATTTGTCGTTTTGATAGTATTATGGATTATAGACTAAATCTAATATATGGAATTTTAATCTTATTACATTCATGTTTGGTTTAATTGATAACAAATTTATTAAGATAATATACTTATTATAAATGGTATACTACATCAATGTATTTCTTTAAAATATCAAATCTTGCTGCCTAAGAGTTATTATAGAAGTATACTTCCCTAAATTTTACAGAGATATATCTATGTACTAATTTTTAGAAAATGAGAAAGTGATTCACTTACAAACGAATGTGGTGTATATCGAATGCGCATGGAAGTATACTTCTAAGTTTTCTACGAAAATGCATATCCATACACTTTTATTGCAAAAATGAATATGTGAATTACTTACGATGAGATGTGGTATATATCAGGTGCGTATGAAAGTATACTTCTGAATTTGTGAAGGACAATTTTAGATTTTAATAAGATAACTCCTCACCACTAAAGATGGGAAGAGAAACCTCTAAAATTAAGGGTTAGGTCTAACATCAAACATATTATAGATTTAATTTTGGAAAATTTTCACTATATTTTCATATTTTTTCAAGGACCTCTTAAACCATCCATTTCAACCATTTATAAAAGGATCATTTTGAAACCTATAATTATAATTATGATCACCATTCTCCTTTTTCATCATACCAATTTCAACTCTAAAACATTTCAAAGATCTTTATTTAAGACTTGCATTTATTTCCGTATCATCAAATAATCTATTAAATATATTTTAAGTTATTTATATATGATTAAGGATATATAAAACCTTATATTTACTCTCATATCTGTTTAGGCGTCCCAAAGGTATCTTCTCAAAATAATGTGTTATTCTAGAGCCATGTTTCTTATCCTTCAAAAGCATATTTTCAAAGTCACGTGCTATTCGTTATTTGAGTCATTTAATGCTTAATAAGTAGTATGCAAGTTCTAAAACATCAAAATTGTGCTTATGAACCCTTAATTAAAAGAAGGGTTAATATCACTTTTTTCCTTCCGCCATTTCCACTTTAAATTTTTAAATAAAGTTGATATTCCAACCTTAGATTTTAAGATTATATCCATTTTATACTTTCTGAAATCAACAAACACGCCTAAGTGACGCACTACCTAAGTATTCTCTCATCTTGTATAAGGAAACATAGAAAGATAAAATCCTAATTCAAGAGAGAGAGGTTATTTGTTATTCTTGTGTATTTTGTAATCTTGTTTGATAGATAAAAGAACGAATAACAGTTTATAACTAATCCTTGTTGTTTCTTTTTATTTTTCTTGCTTATTTTCTTTGTTAACCTTAACCCTTATGTGTTTCTTGAATATAAAGAAACCGTATATATTTTATTTCAAGGCATCCTATTCATAACAAATGTTATATTAGTTACCTTAGAAAACAAATAAAAATATGAAATTGACTATGATAAAACTTATGTATCAATTGTCAAAATGACAATTTGTTCGTATTATAATATCTATACGTGGTATGAAAATATTTATATGAATCTTCCTCAAGATTTGTCCTCTTCAATTAAGAGTGTGTGCAAGCTCAAACACTCCTTAAACAGTTTGAAACAATGTGCCAAAAAAAGATGGTATAAAAGATTGTATTGCATTCTACTTGATTTCTCCTTCACTCATAGTTAGAATAATTTCTCTTTAATGACTCATAGCACATCTACACAAATGTTTGATATGATTATTATTAGTTTTGATCATGCTTCTCTTTACAGATCTAAATATTTGTTACATGCCTCTTTTCAAATGGATCATTTTGATAACCACATTATTTTTTTAGTCTTGACTCTTGAGGTTATTCTATTAGGAGTGGACAAATTTGAACCGACCGATCCATTGTCTTTTTTGTGCAAATGGATCGGGTCAGGTGTCGGGTTGATTCAGTTGCTTAATTTGGATAGTATATGGTTGCTTCGGTCGGACTCAGATGCTTAATTTGGACCCGACAAAAACCGAAACCGACCGAACTTAATTAATATCTAGTTTATTTATTTTTATTACTATATAACTGACTCGCTATAAAAATGAGATTCATAATGTTGTAGGATATTATCATTTTTATAATTTAATGATTGCATTGTGTACTCCTAAAAATACAAGATACGAAATACAAAATTTTGAGTATTATTTAGTTTATGGTTTATAGTATGATAATGATCAAAACTAATGTCAAATAATATTGAAAATATTATCCGGTAATAATAAATTTTCTTTTAATAATAAAAAAAAATTCTATTCTAAAAATTTGATATTTTTTTATAAAAGAATTAAGAGAAAAACCCTTTTTAAAGGTTTGTTCTAATAAATATTAAACCGACTAAACCGATCTGATTTAACCGCCAAATTGACTTAATTAAATTCGACGAAAATTAAAATTTTATCGGTTAAAATTGAACCATAAAAATGAAACCATATTTACATCAAATTTAAATTTTGGATTAAAACCGACCGAACCCGACCATTTGTCCTGCCTATAAGTCTCAAGAGAATCTTTATAATCTCTAATAATAGGCTAGTACAATTAGGACTTAATTTCCACTCATTAATTGTGATGATTAGCTGTAACCTCATATATGAAAAGGCATCAAGCCGTGCAATCAGAACAAGACATCAAAAGAAAGCTATTGAAAAACTTGTCTTGCTCTAAGTACAAGGCAAGTTATATATGTTGACACGACATCCAATAATATATAAATATACAAATAGCATTACAAAGTACAACTATTCAACAAAAATACCCTTTAAAAGTACACATCAACTTCACAATTAGTTACTTCACATACACACCAAACATAATTTACAAATAATAAAAAAATCAACACCACTACTCTTGGAATATGCATTATTTTACACATGAAATAAATCATGCATTAGAAGGATTTTGAGGAACGAGTTGATCCATTCTTTTCCTTAATTCATCAGGATTTGCACCAACAGTTTTATCAACAGGAGTTCCTCCACTCATCAACAAAAAAGTAGGCATGGCATTGATTTCCATCTTGGTGGCTACTTCCTAGAAAGAGTGAGAGTCACACAAAGTATACAACAGTCCAAATTAACCAAAAGTTGTTAAGAGAATTATGAATGAAAGTGATAAACAGCATTTAAGAGGATTGCATAAGATATTAATATTAGTCACATTTAAATGTCACTAGATTATATTTATGATCAATAATGCTATTATTAAAAGGGTGGAATATTGGCTTTGAATTCCAACTTGGAGGCAAATGGCAATTGAACCAGAAAAATCACATATTATTGATACAAAAGGTGGTTACTTACTTAGCACTTATTCATGGAATTTGTCCTTTGAAACAATCCAAAAAAGATAATAAAAGATATTATTATTATAGGCCACTTAGTGATATCATCTATAAAGTTAATAATGCCATTATTATAAGTTAAAGGCACAAAACCAGTGTTAGTGACACCGTGCTTTTGTGTACTGATATAAGCACAGTTTCATGTGACCTAAAAGTGAGGTTTGGAATCAGAAAATAAAAAATTTAGAAATATTGAATAACATTGCATGTGCTGCAAATTAGAGGCTCCAACATAGGAATAGATTAATTGAAAATTTCTCTGATATTGTGATTTACGAAGCACCTTCACATAGACATGATACTAACACTGATACGTTAATATTAATAATGATAGAAAAAATGGAAGTGTTTGAATGAATTACCAGAACCGCCTTAAATTTTTGGAGGTTCGGTGTAGCTTAACCACTGTTCAACTATGACAAAAAAAGCTTATAAGGCTCTATTTAGATACGGTTTAACAGGGACAAATTTTAGGTCCCGTATGATAAGCCGTCTTGCATGCCCTCAAAGACGGGATAGGTGGTGGAGTATATATTGATTAAATAACTTTATTATAAACACAAATCAAAAGGGAAGACTCTATAGGCTCTACCTTAACCTCATCTACATCCACTTTGAGAAAGATTACATTTTGATAGGTGGAAGCCAATTCTTCAAAGAAAGGGTCCATAGCAATAGAAGGCATGCACCAATAAGCAGAGAAATGAACCATAACCTGCAAATATTTTATGACTAAAATAAAAAAGATATTCATCCTTAATGCTATCTGAAGCTGAAACCATAACCAAGTACCAACTAACCAATTGCTATAACTTTACATGCAACATGATTTATAATAAAATGAATCACTATATAGTTTATGAGACTTACAAAGTAACCTTTATTGGTAGCTTCAGTTATGTATTCTTCCCATGATTTCAATGAGTCTATTTTCACAACCTTGGACTTTTTGTGCTGTTGTTGACCACCCATTTTTTTCTACTTCTTCAAAAGATTGTTCTCAGTTCTGTTTATATATACAATTTAGAATGAAATAGAAGATTTGTCATTTAACCAATCTTATCTAGCTGGGGCCATTATGTTAGCCAAATTTTCAGCTATACTCATGTGGTTCATGCAAGTTACAGTTAGACAAACGCATTTATCATCTATTGATAATAATTAAAAAATAAAGAATGTTGTCAAATTCAACAACATATCTGGCTAGTTGTAAGGTTTGTTAAATGACTTTATGTATATGTTATATATGTTGACACTTGACATGCAGAAACAACGACATCAGCCGAACCTTATCTCACTAACTGAGGTCGGCTACATCGATCAAATTCTGCCATAATGATCTATCCAGAACCATGCTTCTATCTAAATCATTAATTTCGAAATCTTTATTAATAACTTGACATGCAGAAAGACACAAAAAAATTGCAACTTCTAGTTTCATACCATTTGGAGTTTTCTTTATTCATTTTCTTTTCTTTTATATGATAGGAACCAAACCAGTAACAAGCAAGGAATCTATTATAGTATTTCACTTTTGTAGGCTAAAATCTGGCCACAAAATCTTGAAATTTAAGGTTTCTTATTCTTATGAGAAACTAACAATTTTAGATAAAGATCATGTCATCGTGTCATTTTCACGGTCAAAATATCTTGATTTCTTCTAATATCATCATGATATTGACTGTCAAGTAGGCCATTTTGAACTGTGTAGGCCATCCTTGTCTTGTGGTTTGTGTCTGCATATCATATCATTATAACATAAATCAACCTTATCCCTACACTTTGACATCCTTTGAAAGCTTTGTGTTACATACTAATACTATTACCACCGCTGACGCACTTTAAAGTCTTTTTCACCGTGATTTTAAGAAGCCGATATGTGAAGCTTCTGTCCCGCCGTGATTTCTCACCATGATTTTTAAGTTTTCCAAACACACCTAAGCTCTTGATGTTAAAGAAAACTTGAAATAAATATAACTTACCAACTTGATTGCGGCTATGAACCCTACTAAAGGTCGAAGAAACCACACTTTGAAATCAATGTGAATTCAAATCTAAAGCCTCTTGATAAGATGAAAGAGACCTGAGTTATCATCTCATTTATACACTCATGAGTTATCGTAGCTTATAATATAATTTGAATTTAGATAACGACGGAGTTGTATTATAACTATAACAAAAATGAAAAGATAACTATGGAGATGGTATTCTATAATGGTCATTGGTGTATATATGTATGATGACATTTAAATTAATATTAAATAAATATCTGATGCATATTTTTTTAATACAATTTGAGTTGTTTGAATTATCATCTTAACTGTGACCTTATCCTATTTTGTCAAAAAACCTGCAACCTTATCCAACCAATCATTGGCATTGACATTCTAAAATGTTTCTAGGATTGGTCTTTCTTTTTCTAATTTATATAAGAGAATTGATGTAAAAGTAAAATAAATACATTACATTAAGCAGAAAACAAATTGAACGATTACAGTGTGGTTTCAACTAAATGCATGCTCAATAACTTCACTATACAAGCTACATGCCGTTGTTAGAATCAATCAAACTCATTTTCCTTCTTATTGCGATGCTCCTCCAGAACTTGATTTCCACAATCGGTTAAAAAAATATACATCTTTGTTTTTTACGATTAGAAATAGCTCAAACGAGCGTCTGTTGCACGGCCATTGGTCTGGCGACGTGGAGTTCCAATCTCACAAGCATTGACTCTCGAAGCAAACCTGAGTGAGCATAGTGACTCGCTAACCGAAGAAGGATCGGGTGAGATGTTTACAAACATTAACGTCTTCGAGTCTCCACCGAGACAAGGCTGTTCAATCATCATTAGATGATCGCGTTAAATTAAATCATTCAAATCCAATAATAAAGAAATCATCAATGTAGTGTAAAATTTAAGAAATGCCATGTGAGAGACTGAGAGAATAATAATTACTTGAAGAAGATATGTAAGCTTTGAGTTTCTGAATGGCACATGGTCTTCCTTCTTGGCCAAGGCAAATATGACATCGCTCAATGATGACAAACTTCTGTTGATGGCCTGATCACAAATAAAAAGTAAAGTTTAGTTCAACTATTTTCGAATAAAATAAGCATAAACGGAAAAGAAATATCACGATTTTACATACTTGAGTTTCTTTCAACCGATCACCGGTTGAACCACTCTTCGAGAGACGCTCGCTACCAGCAAGGTCAATTAGATTCAGAACACCTTGTACTTGTTGGTCAGTGCTCTGGATTAAAAATAAAATAGGTTGCATGATGCATGATGCATGTCATTGTTTGTGACTATGGAAGATTGAAATGTGAATGGAGAATAAGTATAGAATAAAGTTTTGATTTGACTATTGTCTTAATAGAAACATCACTACCTCATTTACACCATATATTCGAAGAGTGAACACGAAATGGCTTCTTGATGATTGTTCATTCATCTGAGTTTTTCCCACAGATCTAAGAGGAAATAACCAGAATAATCAATATAATTGTCTAATTCTAGTCATAAATGGAAAAATTTCATTTGCAGTGTCATAACAATAGTTACCTGCTATTTGCAGCTTGATTTAAAAGAAAGGCGACTTCTTTCGCACTGTGAACATCCACTACTGTAAGATCAGAAACTTGTGTATTTCCACTTGCATCATGTTTGATTGTATATTGCTTTCCAGGAGTGCCATTTTCCGATGACGATCTTATCGACATCAGATCACGAATGGTTTCATTGTATATTTCCAACATTGATACCTGCGAATTTCATAACAAAAACCTTCTCATGTCATGTTCAAAAAAACATTTACATTACTTCGTAATACTAGGGTAAAGAAGAAATTACTCTAATGTTACCTGCATCTCGTATTTCCAGCCTTGAGGTTGTTGAGACTGTTTCGTTTGAAATATCTGTTCTAACGAACGAGGTATCAATCCCTTTTCCTCCGGGTGTCCAGGTCTTCCCATCATTGTATAGGTTTTCCCTGATCCAGTTTGACCATAGGCGAAGATGCAAACCTGAAAAATGAAAAATATCTTAATATTTCAAGAGAAATGTGAAAAAAAAAATGCTATGCAACACTTACAACAGAAGAACTTTGAATTACCTTATAACCATCAAGAGCACTTTGTACAAGCTGTGAAATTTCTACAAAAACTTCTTCCTGTGATACTTCAGGTATAAAAACTTTATCAAATGTGAAAGAATGTTTCTGGCCTAAGAACAAAACAGGAATGACTGTGAGTTTGCAGTTTAATAAAATGATGACTAAAACAATCATAGAAAAAAAGATATATTTTCAAATGTAGTATCACAAGAGATATACCATTTTGGGCTAAGTCAATTTGCCGTCCAGAAGCTTCCGTCGATGTTGGATAACTGAATATCTTGCCTTCTGTGCTACGGTTTTCATCGTGTAACAAAGGCCTCACCCGACAGAATACACGGATGTTCCCTTTTAACTCCTGTTAATATTGAGAATAATAAGGTGCCTGAGTTTTTTTCTTATAATCAACAAAATTTTTGGTTCAATGAATTACCAAAATGGTATTGTGTAATTTTTTCCGCAGCCTCTCCCCTTCTATGAGTTTATATTCTGCATCTTCCAAGCGTCTTTGCAACTCATCAACAAATTTTTGTTGCCCTATAAACTCTGTTCTTGTCTCGAATACCGATATATCAGACACCTAACAAGGAACATAAGCTATTAACATTATAATCATAATAATGCATATGTTGAATAACCATCATAAGCTGTTAGGCATAGATCCGTGAACGATTTCAAAAATATGTCGTTATTACCTGCAGTTTCTTCTCTGCAGTTGCTAACTGTTCTTGCAATGCCTTTATTTGATTCTCTTTCAGAGAACTTTTTTCCTGTGAAGGAAACTCATCCTATCACGACTCTAATAATGAAACGTGTAATGTTTAGTAGAAGGAAATTAGATATAGAAACCAACCTCTAATTCATTCGCTTTTAATGTCAAGCTGTCCAATTCAACGCAGGAGTTTTCCCTAGATTCTTTTAGTCTCACCAAATCAGCATTTAAAGTTTGTGCTTGAGATAAATGACGGTCTCTATCATCTCTTACTTGATGCAACTCTCCTCTGAGTGAAGCAACTTCACTAGCAAGATCGTCCTTCTGTTTTGTGGCTTCTTCTTGAGAAGACTATTAAAAGAACCAAGGAAACTAGGTAATATACGAATTGCATGAATACGAAACTAAAGATAAAACAAATGGAACTTGAAATCAAGTTCAGATACTTATGTCGTAATGTCTACTTGAATTCCAATTGAAAAGGTTCGCGTGAAAGCTAACTTACAATGGATAAAGTAAGTTGAGCACTTAACATAGTGATGTTCTCCATTGCAGCAGCCTTCTCTTTCTCTACGCGTTTAAGTTCATCTTCAACTGATGAAAGCTCCGTATGAAGTTTTCCATTGTACTGTTGTAAACTCGTTATGTATTCTTGTAACCGCTTATACATCTCATTGAGTGACGATATCTGAAGAAATCCATTAATGAAGACCGTTATTTATATTTGTAATAAAAAAAGTGAAAAGGAATTCATTGAACTGGAATTATACTGTTATTTTACCTTCTGATTCGCACTTTGAATCTCTCGTTGAGCTCTTCCGATATCCTCGGAAAGAGTGGTGTGTGACCTCTCAACATCAAGTCTTGCTTCTCTCTCTTTAACAAGGGAATCCACTGCAGCCTTGTGTTTAAAAAATATTTCAAAGATTAAAATTTCCTTCCAAATTTTTTTCCAAATTTCAAAAGACAAGTTCAAAATCTTTCTTACCGACTTCTCTACTTCTTCCTTTATCAATTTCTCTTGTAATGAAGTGCAATTCTTTCTCATTTCTGTAATAATTAAGTTCATTTCCTCTTCCTTTATTTTAAGCAGCAACTCTGTAATAATCAAATAAATCTAACCATATTAGTAACAGCAAGCAATAGCATTTATCACGGCCCGAACTGAAGAAAAATTAAAATTAACCTTACCGATTTCTACACTCTTTTGCTGGGTCATTTCCAATGAATTTTTTAACTTTTCCTGCTCTATTGAGTAGCTCATCTCAATGTCTTGGAACCATTTAATACAAACCTTAAGCCTTTTTATATAATCCACCATATTTTCACATCTTTCCTAAAAAATGATAACAAGTTACATTAATCTCAAATTCAAATATATAAACTTAATGACTTGAAAATCAAAAACTTGAACTTACCTTATAATTAAACCTCTCTTTCTTTTTAGCTTTTTCATTTAGCAATGCCTCGACATCCTCTCTTGTGAACTCTATCACACCATAATCCGATCCAGCAATGCTTGGAGGAGTACTAGTCAAGCCAACATCGTGCCCGCCGTTTACAACTGTAAAAGCCTGCCTTATTCGCCCATTAATCGGAGTCTCAACCATTGTTTCTAGACGGCGGTTATCTCCCACAAAATCCCGAAACTTCAATTAAAAAAAAAACAAAAAATCACATTTTTAAGTACGATACTACAACGAAACAAATGAACAAAAACAACCCGTTATTTAAAATGAGCGAAGATAGAAATAAAAAGATAGTAGTAGTACCTTTGGAAGGGATTGGAGATGTGGGTGAGATCGATAATGGAAACCGGTTTTGAAATTTGGTGACCATTTGAAGCAAAAACACTCAGCTCTAGTGGGAAGAGACAGATAAAGAGAGATTGTGTATGAAGCTTTCACTAGTGTGTAGGGTCATGAATTGTATTGAAAGCTAACAATTTATCAAAACCGTTGCTTTATTTAGCAGGTATAAAAAACACATGACTCAGTGTAATTAAACAAGTGTTTTTTTGTGTTGCGTTAGATGGGAGTTAAGAATTTTAGCTTTCACTTTCAGAGAAAAACCATCAACCAACTTTATCTGACAAGTTAACAGATGAAAGGTAGAGAGAATGAATGAACAGCTATACCATACCACCGCACATAACATGAATGATAACAATAATAGTAGCATATAGAAGTAGTTGGTGTTTCCATTCAGTTCTTGGTACTCACCTGAATGGTGTGTCTTTTATCTACGACCACTTTTTGAAGCTTGTTCCTTAGCCATGTTTATGAAACTGACTTTTCTTCTTCTCCTCTTATCTCGGCACCAAAATAGTATACCTGTTGCATTCATATTGCTCATTTTGGTTTTGATGTTAGTATGTTCAGGAATCATTCCATTTCCATATCTTGCATATTCAAAAGCATTCATGGTGAGAAGTATGTCAGTGAAATGAATTCAATAAAGTTATAAAGGGTGACTGAACATCAAGGGGATGTAGCTCAGATGGTAGAGCGCTCGCTTAGCATGCGAGAGGTACGGGGATCGATACCCCGCATCTCCATTTTTGTTATTAATTTTGCCCTCTACGTGTTTGACGAAATGCCGAAATGCCTGTGCGTATATCAGAAGCGTTTTTTCATGTGATACCTTCTTTTTCCTTTGTTTCTTTTGCAGGGACCCATGTGACAATATGCCATTCAAATGGTGTTTGAGTGGCATGTGATTGTGAAGTATTCCAGGGGATTGTTATTTGTTCGTGAACACGAAAAATATGGACTGCAAAAACAAACCTCTAACAACTAAAATGAATAAGAAACAACCTATTTTGTTTTCCTTTGTCTTCTTCGTTTCTCTAACCTTGTGTGTTTTCAAAGTATGAAAATTCTAAAAGTTAAAAATTTCAAATTAAAAAAAATATAAATTAAAAAGCCGATGTACTTGAGTAAAACTCAAATAAAATAAGCTGCAATCGTAATTCAATATAAATATATATAATTTTTAATTTATAATAAATAAAATATATTTAATTTAAAATTTTAATTATTTGATCTTATCTAACAATTAAGAAAAAAACTAAATGCATGAATGAAGTGAATTTACAACCGAAAGGAATAATGGTCTCAAATTCATGGAAGTATTTCTATTTCCTCTACCGAAGTGTCATACTCCCCTACTCAACAACAAATTAAACTATAAGGTTTCCATTTTTTAACATGATAGTCCATTTAAGTAGTGTTTGGATGATTTAAAGACATTTTCAGAAGTAGTGGCAATTTGAAGCGATTTAAGTGTCGAGGATACATGGAAACAAATCAGCAGACAAAATCCCATGTAGCAGTACACGTGTCGTATTTTGAAGAGTTAGTCATTACTGATAGTTGATAGTGCACCTAATATATAAGTGAATTTTGACTTTGTAGTTCGGGGTCACAATTCATTTACTCTTTATAACTCATACATCTAATTAACTAAGATAACAAGTATGCGAGAAATGTATGAACACGCGTTCCATTTTCAATTCAAGCGTTTCGATGACTTTTTGTTGTTTATTTATTTACCTGCTTTTATTAATTTAAGCACTTTTACTTTGTTTCTTTTGTTATTTATATTAGAAATCCTTTTAACAGAATTACATTTTCTCAAATGTTTTACAAAAAATGGCCCTTAGGAATTTGAAGTTTGATCTTACAAGTGAATTAAAGCTCGTGATTGTTTACTAAAACCACAAGTAAACAAATTGGCACACCTTGTAGCACCCATTTTCGTTCAAAATTAAACTTTGTAGATAGTGTATGTATTTTTATGTTTGTTTTACATTCTTCACACATTCAAATGGTTTTTGCATCTGAGGAGTGGAAAGCTTGTTAGTATGTCTCATCCGTCATCAACGAATTCATCCTCTCAAAGAGTTCCTCCTCCCTAAAACGACGCTCCAAATGCAGAAGAACAATAAATCGAAACGACGGTTGATGGTGCAAGCACTACAATAACTGTTGGAGTAACTACTCCTGCCATGAATCAAATGCTAGTTTCGACTATGGCACCAAAGATGGTGATAGCCCTACCACAATCAACTAGTCCGCCTACTACTCCTCTTGTTACATAATCCATTATAGAAGGTACCAGGCCTCAATTCCTTCTGGGTTTCACATTTCTCCCTGGTGGTAGGAATTACCCACATGGCATGCTAACTGCATAAATGCCAGGCCTATAAACTAACACGTCGATGATGCAGATAATGCAATTGTTGTTGCCTCTCTTATTAATCAATACATGGCATTGAGGCTTCCATAGACAACCCTAATCGAATGGGTCAACCCCAAGGAGGATTATGATATATCCCTTAAGTTATATTTCCTTTAACTACTAATTCTCTCTTGGCCGTAAGACAACAAATGGATAACATAAACCATGATATGATTAACATGCTTACCTGACAAGTTGGCATTATGTTCAATCCTCTTATCAAAATACCAATCATAGTTACTAATAATTAGCAAATCAAATGTGTTGAATTGCTGATTTATTTGGTGTTCCTCAAACCCCCATTCAGCTAGTTCCTCACATACAAGCAGTTGGACTAGTCCAAATCCAGGAGTTGCAAACAATGAAGGTGATCCCAATAATCAAGTGCAACAACAAGTTATACCCTAAATATTTGAACAGCATATGCCCAGGGTAGTCAAAGGAGACTTAGGTTGAAACAAGCCAGATGTGGTGTTGGTGAACAGGAACCAAGATGCAGATTAAATGGTTAGGAGAGTCCAACAAAAAATTTGGGAAAAAAATAAACATAGCCAATATGGTTGAATAAATCCTAACTCAAAATGGTCTTAATATTGGTCTTCATATGCCAAATTTTGTTTTTGCCTTATCTGAATACGTATTGCAAGCTGAACTCCCCACGGGTTGGAAAGTTCCTAAATTTACTAAGTTTGCAGGTGAAACTAGTGAGTCCATTATTGAGCACATTGCTCGATGCTAGTAAGAAGTTGGTGATTTGGCTAGTAATAAAAATATAAAGATGAAATACTTCTCTAATTCTTTAACCAATAATGCTTTTAAAGTGTCCACTTCTTTCTCTCCAAACTACATCCATAATTGGAATCAAATATAAAGGGTGTTCCATGAGCAGTTTTATAGGGGTTGGTCAAAAATTAACCTAAAAGAGTTAGCTAGTGTGAAACGAAACTCGTCTAAATCGATAGATGATTATCTCAATAGGTTTAGGTTGATGAAGTCAAGGTGTTTTACTCAAGTTCCTGAACATGATTTAGTCTAAATGGCTGCAGGTAATTTAGATTATAACATTAGGAAGAAGTTTGATACTCAACACCTAAGGGACATGGCCCAGTTGCATACATGGTGAGATAAGTCAAACACTTGAAGGCATAGAAGTCTAGATTAAATCGACAACCTAGTAAGGATAAGATTTCCTACATAGAAGCAAATGATAATAATCAATAACTCGACATAGTTTTTGAGTATGTCGAAGAAAATAAGGTTAATCTGGAAGGATTAAAGCTAGGGCCTCTGTGTGTTTGTAAAGTTTTAATACCTTCCAATGGAAAGAATCTTGTTAAATCAAAGAAAAATGAAAATTTTGTTACAAAACTTATACTTTTGATGTAACTAAATGTGATTAAAGTATCAATCTTCTAGTTGTCGATAGTCAAATTATAATGCTGAAAGGTCTAAAGATGCCACCATTGAAACAAAGGAAGAGGAAAGACTTTTGTAAATATCATAATTTGCTTGGTCATAAGACTTCTCAATGTGTACTTTTTAGATATCTGGTACAAGATTCTATGAAAGAAGGCTTGCTTAAGTTTGTTGATGAACCTAAGCCGCCCATGAAAATTGACTCAGACCCCTTGCAAGTCGAGAAGGTAAAAGTTTTCTTAGCTTAAGGTATTAACAATCTTTTGTAATTTCCAGCACTCTCAGTATAATATTGCATTCATCTTCATCTTTAGTTTGTTATTGCTTGTTTATTTTCCCTTTACTTACTTTTCATGCAATGCTCTTAAATTTATTTTTGGTTGTTGTTCATATCACCATGAGTGAGTAGATCTTTAGGGACATGGGGTTATGAGAGTCATTATCATGACAAACCCCTACTAAGTTATATATTCATAATTGTGAGAAGTATAAGTTTCTTTAATTTAGAATTTGAATGTCAATCCATGTTTATGTCGTGTGAGAAAGCAAAGTCAAAACAGATGTCGATCATGTATCGAAAGATAATTATTTGACATTCAAACATGAATTACTAAACAACTGAGTTCAAGATGCCAATGACAAGGCTACTTGATCTCATTTGAGAAATAATCAAGAATGCAGTGTCGCATGACAAGGCATACAATCTTTATTGATACACATAACTGTGTCTGAAACATGTTTAGATGTGCATGCCATAAAAGTGGGTATCACACATTTTTATCTAATTTTTTTTATAAAAATAGCTTATAACTTCTCACAATTCAAACATGAATAATTTTAGGGGGTAAGTCTTAAAGAATGAACATATTCTAGGTCCTACTTTTTATTATTTTTTAATTTCAATATCAATCTGCAATTAATTAAACCATTTTCAATCACTTTAGATAAACAC